ATGTCGGTGTATCAGAGTTACGTGTCAGGGTGTGTCAGAGTTATGTGTCAGGGTGTATCAGAGTTACGTGTCAGGGTGTATCATAGTTACATGTCAGGGTGTATCAGAGTTGCATGTCAGGGCGTATCAGAGTTACATGTCAGGGTGTATCAAAGTTACGTGTCAGTGTATCAGAGTTAAATGTCAGGGTGTATCAGAGTTACATGTCGGTGTATCAGAGTTACGTGTCAGGGTGTGTCAGAGTTACGTGTCAGGGTGTATCATAGTTACATGTCAGGGTGTATCAGAGTTACATGTCAGGGGATTATCAGAGTTACATGTCAGGGTGTATCAGTGTTACGTGTATCAGAGTTAGTGTGTGCTCACCGTCTGTTTGATGAGGACTATTCATTTGAATACCTGTTTGTGTTTCGTTGTCTGGAGAGACGCATACATCTTATTACTACCCGGTATGTTTTCAAATTAACATGTAGTGAGTCAGCTTCAATAGCTTTAAACCACGCCTCTCATGTCATACTCATAACCATCACGGTATTATTTTCCGACCCCAGGCAGATTATACCAGACATCATAACACAACAAGTCAACAGACATCAGGGTACTTGTAACCAGTTTTCACTAAACTTCATTATTGTTGTTTTGTTGTGCATGAATACATTGAGATGCTGACTTGTTCGAGCTACGGTCATCGAGTTACGAAAACATCGAGTTACAATGACCATGCCCATATTTCATAAACCACGCCCACTTTTACAATTTTGGCGTGGTTTCTGAAATATTGGCGTAGTCATATTTGTAACTCGATGTTTATAACTCAAACAATTAAGTTCTGTTTATGAACATTTTTGTTATTGTATTTTCAGCACCAGCAGACCAGTACATTGTTCCCGCTTCTCGTCAAGCATGCCTGCAAGCGAACTATCCTCCACCGGTAAAGGAGGTATGTAATTTGTGTGTTGCCCACACCGCTCCCACATCGCAATGTCGACGAGGAGGTTATGTCAGATAGTAGTATACCATCAATGTGTTTAGCTGTATCCGTGTTTACGGGGATGCCGGGTCCGTTGCTAACCATGGGCATGTAATTGCAGATTGCACATAACCCTGAAAAGGGGGTTATGAATAGGTCTTGTATATGACCCCTGAAGGTCACACACACATTCTGGTACGTTTTGGAGGTTTTGTTGCTCTATGACAGTAGTACTAAAACGAGAGCTGATTGGTCATCTAGTTCTGAATTACACGCATTGCCTTGTCAGTGCCAGAACATGCCAGGAAGAAAAAATACTATGGCGAGTGATAATAAAAATGTTACCTTGTTGTAAATAGGTCACGTGATTACCCATAAATACCATAATTTGTCAATTTATCACGGTATAATTTGTAAAGTTGATAGACACACTTGAGTGGCCAATATGGCATTAAACGGTGCAGTGCCCTCAATGAAATGTAGCAGCAAAGATTTTTCTTTTACAGAATTACGATTTGTTGGCTACGCTGTACGGTATTTAAGGCCTAATGTATCAGCATCATGGAAGGTACGTGGAAACACAAACAGTGACGTCATCTACAATACATAGTTACAATTTCCCAACTATTTAGTATTTACTCTAGATGATATTAATACTTCATTCATTTAGATGATGATTTCAAACAAATTATGTTGCATATATTTTGAGAGGAGTTTTTATTTGGTCGAAACACTAGGTGGCGCTATTGTCCTTGACTTCTTCTGCCGTGCTGATAGTGCAATGAAAATAGTTTGTAGCACCTTTATAATTTCTATTGTACTATTAAATCTTATATATTATTATACATCTGTGACCGTAACGCCATAAGTTACAGCGTGTCGTAATTTAGTGGCATTGCACTGGGTATTTTCATTCTATCATATTAGGAAACGCGAATTCCAAATATGGAATTATTACGCGAGTAAGCGTCCTCTAATAATAATAAAAAAAAAACATGGTTTGACTGGACCCCACACAAAGAAGTTCACTAAATCTGTTTTAAACGTTTTGGATTTTGGCATTCCCAAGATGCATTCTTGGGAGGAAAAGGTGTATAATTATAAGGTTATTAGGAGAATACTGTAAATTATGCACTCAACGTGGGCGTCAACCCTCCTCTGAAAACCTTTGTGTCAGCAAAATTTGCCCCTCAAAATGCAGGAAATAATGTTTCAGAGGGTCTAGATTTCCAAATGTGTCGCCGCCTCTGGGCAATACGCGGTCGCATCGACCTCCGCTGCGCGCCGGCCGATGCCCCCGCAGTCTTCGTGCATACTTTGCAGTATCCTCGTAATAACCTCATATTACACCTGGATTGCCATATCGTACATCATTGTCCAAATGCAAATATTATGTGAATAATATTGTTTATTTTTTAATATGGGACAAGTTTCAGCTGGTCAATTTCCTATCTCTTTCAGTACACACTGAACCAGGAACCGAATATTGACCAGTATGGGCAGCGACCAATACCGGCGAATATTTAGTAAGTATGATTATCGAACTGCTTTCTTGAAAGTTATGTTGTTTTGCTCTCTTGGACATGAGATATTGCTGTTAGTCGTGAGTGTAAGACATTTTTGCAAGGATTCAATAATTACTGTCAGTCAGTGTAAACATCCATGATGCATGTTTTCATTGACCCTATAAAGTTCAGGATTAATTTAGGTCGTGGCGCCACGCATACGCAAGATTCGTCAGTAACCATCACTACGCTGTCTACATCTGTTACAACCTCCACGGTATGAAAATAAAGGATATTCTGGCGTTTTATATTATCACTGACTTACTCTATCTGTGGTACTACCGTCCTACTCTCAATCGTCTTTCCTGGGTTACATGTGGTTTGAGACGAAAAATCCCTTTCCCAACAATTTAGTGAAATATTAATGAATAACTCTAATAATAATTCCCTGAACTATAGAGGGCTCTCGCCAGCTATAGTTTCAATTAAAGTTGTGCCCCCTAATCGATATAAATATCAATGATATATCAATGAATACATCAACTAATTCATGTCTATTTTTTCCGGAGCACAGTAGCCGATACAGGGATACATTCCCCCAGTACAGTCGTAACCTAGCAACCGAAGCATGGCGCACATAGTCTTGAACTCGCCGCGCCTGTACCAATTGGAACAACGCCAACGCAAAGAATTCCGTCCATTTTGTGTTTTAATAAATGCTTTTTTTATTTCTTGTTATTTTATTCTCAGTATTAAAAGATTTAGGAATGACTTTCGAATTGATTTAACGAGTAGCCCGGTGCTACTTTTTGTGTTAATGCAATAAACTGGATTGTGTTACCATAGCGTTGTGATCTAGTCGTATATGGGCGTTAAAAATGTGACAGGTCGCCACGACATGACGTCATCAACTATTTGCATGTGATAAATGTCTGAGTGGTCTACGTCACTTATCGTTTCATCCATGTACCCTAATTAGGAACTGTGTCCCGCCTGACGTCACTAATTTCACGTCGGTCGTTGACGTCATTCGAATACGTCATTTGAAACAGTACAGTAAGTATAGATTGTATTGATTATTGTATTGTATCATAGACTCTTGTCCTCACTTGTACGTATGCCTAATCATTCACGATACGAACACTATCCTGTGTTCGGATAATCGAGGTTTGACTGTATTGTGACACTTTGTATTCAAATTCAACTACAAGAGTAGTGTGAATTACAATGCTTTTAACATCTCGTCATTCTGTGATTTGGATGTGTGATTCAGTGCTCGTCCTGTAAATGAAAAGTTGTTTGACCCGAAACAATATCATTGGCAATATGCAAACATTGAAATGCTATAGTATTAAAGGAAGATAACAAATGACTTATATCTACCTCAAATACCGATACACAATTGTCAGGTGTTTATTATGATAGTCCAATCAAATAATGCCTTTGGTCAGTTTGGTACGTCTGAGTACATCCAGCCCACATTCTGTGTGTCCCGCACATCCTGATGAGTTCATCCGATTATAGTCGTTTTATCATAGACTCATTTGACACATGTGTGGACGTCACGAACTTACCGCGAGAAATAGACGAATTATGAAAAATAGATTTATTCAATAAACTGAATACAAACATTATATGCTTCAGTTGTTAATTATGTTTTAATCGGATACTCTCAGATCGGTCATATTTCATTTGGAATGGCATACTTTCTAGACAGGATTCTATGAATAGTTATCATTTTTAACAGATGTGTTTGAAATCTGTGTTCTGCCTGCAGGTCGATTTCACTGTACTTATCATAGCGAACACACGTTCGTGCCTTGGCTGCCTAGGGCGTTAGATTATAAACATCTACCAACTTTAACAAGCTGGTTTCTTTCAAGAATATTGCGCTTGAAGTTTGAGAGCAAATGATAAGTAAATGTTTTCAACCAATATGGACAAAAAACATGTAATCTGTAAACAATGTTATTTTACCCTGCATATTCCTAACTAAAATCGCCATTCTTGTCATACAACTGAATGTTCGTTCGACAAGACAATGACATACTCCGCTGATTGTCACGTACAATATTAATAGTGCAATGGCAACATTTTAGTTTACAGTAAATTATAATCCTATTTAGTTCCCAAAGCAAACGTTATTAACAATACACGTGTTCCTCTATATTGTATCTTGTAAAACTACGATTAGTTCTGTACGTGCTATAGGAGACAATGTGACAAACCTGGAACAAACTGTACTAGAGAAGAGTGTCGAACATCTAGTATATTATACAAATCTTCTCACTGTACAATACTTCGACTAAATGTTATAAAAATGGATGCAACTTATACTATGAATTGAATTTCGTTGATATAGTCGCGAGGTGTACTAAATACCGCCAGTGACTCCTCAATTACTTTGGTCGTTGTTTTGTTCCATGTCGATAAAAATTCTAAATATACTTTCTAAATGATGTTTAATGTCGTGTTTAGGCCAAACCTTTATTATCCATTGTTTCGCGAACCCGCCGAATGAACAGGAGCTGAAAATGTAATAAAAATAAAACTTTATTTCAGCGTAATTTCTCGCGCCCGCCGACTTGTAAGTGCAAAAATTGCTAAAAAAAAACTTATTTTTATCTTCATTTTTTCCACCCACCGCATAACAGACCCAAGTTGCATTTTCGTAGGAGTATCATGATTAAAGTACCGAAGTCTCGCGCAGATGAGAACAAGGTTATACATTGAATAACATTTTATTTCATTTCTTCTCTCCGATCAATGATCTCACTTACAATTCTTTGAGAATCACACAAATTTAATAGAAAAAAAGAATTAATTTTATTTTTTTTCGTCCTCCTCAAAAGAATTGCCTTATAAAAAATTGAGAAACAAGGAATAAAAAAAGTCTGGCGTTAGTGGGAATCATGATTTGGATGTGTTGACTGGCTACGTGTTCACATTTTGTTCACAAGTTCACATTTTGTTCACATGAAACTCATATCTCGCACATGCGTGACGCGACGACCACCGCCCTTTAACCATAATGTGCATGTAGTACAGGACCTTATGTCAGGTCATAGTTCACCATCACGATAGTGTGGAGCACGGGGGCACAACTCACGATAAATACCTTCCCATGATCGAACATAGTATTATTACCAGCCGAAGAAAGAATAAAAAAAAACAGAAATAGAAAATATGTATTTTTTACATATATTCTGTAAGATGCCAGGTAAGATATGTATCAGTACACCTCTTACTGTAAAATACTGCTTTCCAAAAATGGATGTATATTAAACATACCAAACAGAATACAGTGTTGCTAACCATTGTTCAGCGTATAGTATTTTTGAAATCTTTGTGTTTATATTTTGGAGAGCTATAATCATACTACCGTCACTATGTGCTATATTTACTTAATGTGAAAAGACATACGTCAGATTTTCGATTTGTGTTTTCTGTTTTTGTTTTGTTTTTGTTTGTGATTATACCGTAGACCTGTAACTCGAATTACACAACATATACCCCGAGGAAAGTTGTGGACATGGCACTATGTGTGATGCCGTGCACTATAAATGTAAACCTGTCTGCCATATATAACAAACCACAGTCGCATTGACATATAGGTCGGGTCTCCTGACAATACAAGGTGTTCAATCATAAGACCTATAATTTGGTTCTATGAAGTTATATGACCAGACGTGATTTTAACACAAATAAGTAGACATCTGACTGACTGAAGATTACCAGTCTGTTATAAAGTGTTCAACTTTGACCCAAGATATATTTGCTTACATAATGCCGAAACAAACCATTAAAAAGTGTTGATTTATTGTCTGTGCTCAATGAGTTCAATGACCTCACAATGAACTTTCGTCGCAAGTATGAGAGATTGTTTTTGGAGAGATGTATGTGTGCTTCTTCTCCGAAACGATCTTATTTAAATTTAGTCGAAATCGCTTTGCTCACCGAATATTAAGATTTCCCTTATAAAGTATGTATATTTCGGACACGAAAAACACGTGTTTACTTCGATAAGCGTTATCAGAGTACAGAGTAATTGATCGAGTTGATATAACATCTGAAATATGCTTGCCGATACTGGCCAGACATAAATGTTTCAAACGGCAACCCGAGACGTCTTCAGTTCAATGTTGCATAGAACTAAAAACTGACTACTAGATGTTGGAAAAATGCAATTCAAGCTGAGTTTCACACAATGTTGTATTTGTGTTTGGTATCATAGCATAACCACAGTTACCATACATAACACCTTCGAATAACTTTGCATAAATAATGCATTTTACATATGCATGGCATCTAACGTGAACGTAGCACAGTGCAGACTCTAATGCTGGGAATGATATGTTAATTAAACTTACTCATAAATTAACATTCCTAATGCCAATATAAGACATTGTAATTATTAAAGATGGGGGCACCGTACTATAATTTCAGAAATGTTTATTATAAATAATGTACTATTTTGGGAACCGTGTGTTATTAATTGTTCCTATGGTAACGGCACCTTCTTGTATCTCAGATTTGTGAATACAGAGTGAAAACTTATAAACTGGCAGGTACTTTAAGTTTTACATATTTTATCAAAATATATACTACTGTCCCATTAAACTATTAATTTAAACACTAAATATCGCCAATCTATAAAATTATGACTAGGTTTCTAAAGAGAATAATATTATTATCGTGAGATTTGTAACAAGCATGAAAATTGTTCCGTTATGTAAAATGCGTTTTGAAACATAATGCTCAAAACGTGTTATTTACTTGTTATATAACTCACTGCCAACACTCACCGCAATGACCTTGATTTGTAAAAACGAAGTAAACTTGAATTCATATGTGTATATGGTAACTCGATGATAAATTTTAATCAGATTTTCATTTTAATATTTAATTTCACTATTCACAGATATTATGATCATATAATGACAATAAAGTAATTAAATTAACATGAAAATGTTTTATATGTTACTATCCTGTTGTACATGAATATGCAAATTAATAGTCATGACAAACGTAAGAGTGATAAAATGACTCACAATTATAAATTATTTGCTTAATGAGTAATATTGATAAAATAATTATTATTATTTTTACTTGTTTAGATATTATTATATATTTTGATCCAAACTCATTTAAATACATCGTGTTTATTGAAACTAAAAAGTATTAAAGTTATATAATTTGCTAAATTATTATATGCAGCGTTGGTGTGCTATACCTGAATAATTTATTTTGTATATGTGCAACCGAGAATCTCAAATTACAACGCAATTCCAATTGTGCTTCAAAGCACGCTCTAAACAACAAACATATACGAAATCCTATGCTTGACATTCGTTTGAACGTAGTGGCAGCATAATGTAATACACCCTTCGGTTTTAGGGGGAGGCGCTCCCCCTTCAGCCCGTAAAAATGACAAATCAATTGACAAACCAAGCCCACCCAGCTCGGGTCAATAGGAGCGCCCCCTTACCGAATTTCTGGACCCGCCAGTGTTATAAGTTCTTATATAACTTGAATAAAGTGAGAAGGTGTAGGTCAGGAAAGCTAGCGATGTTGTTGCTCATTAAACAAATATTAATTTTTTGCATCGAAATTTAATAAATTAAGAAGGCATCTTTAGAGATATCATGCGATTCGACTGATTCGAGCTATATACACGCCTACACGCCCCTTTGTTAATAAACAACTAACAAACGTTGTGTGAAAATTTCACTCAAAATAAACAAGAATTGTGCGAGCTATTTAGATTTGAACTTCCATGGTAAACTGAAAAAATACAAGTGGAGATAATGGCTAATTTGCATAACAATTTTCGACTGTTTGCAAAATATTTTACATTTGATATATGAAACATACTTTTTTATCCCATAATACACCGTTAACTCACAGTCACGTGTTTAAGGAACTACTTGGAGGTTGCGCGAGAGGAAATAACCACGAACAGAGATCTGTCATAATTTACATCGTTTGGAGCACATTTATCATCGGTTTTGGAATACAAAGTATCAGCACGTTTACGATTACAGATGTGATGGATAATGTACTGATATTGACAATTAAATAAGTGTTAAAGACGAGGGACGGAGTTATATTATATGCATCACTCATTTTATAATCTACAA